CTTTTGTTGACATGTTATAATCTTAAATTCCCTTCTACCACCATGTAATTTACGGTCTCTTTAAACTTTTAATCTAAAAACCCTTCTTACCCCTGCACAAAAACTATTAATTATAAATGCTTTGGTCATGCATTAAAACAGAATGTGCAATGATCATTAAAATTTTATACTTTCTAAAATTAGAAAGGCTAAAAGTTAAGTCTGCTGTGCCATGACACATCTTCCTGAGACACCTGTTTCTGTTTTCAGGTAGATGGGACATTCCCACAGTAGAGTGGGTGGCACAGAGAGACCAGCCTGTGTTTAGCCAAGTTGAGCTCCTGAGCTCCTGCATTCGCAGCGTCCTACTTAGTTTTGTTACTTTTTGTGTTGTGGTTTGAGATCAGTTAGGAAACTGTGGCTGAGTTTTCTATGATATCTCTGCACAGCCTAAGGATTTGTGAGCTCCTGTAGCATTTTATATGACAATTCTAAGAATTGTATAAATGTTTCAATTGCTGTTTGGGCACTGAAAATTAAGATCTGAAAAATAATTATCTGTGTCATACACAGATAATCTCATTTACTCCTAGCCTCTGAGGCAGGAAAGGAACTCCAACTGGGTAGCAAAACATAAATGGAACCTCACTCCTGCCCACGCTTATTCCTGCTCCTTTTTAGCCGCCATGTTGGGTTTTCTTTCTCAACTGCACATGCTGAGTTGTCCAGAAGAAACCACTGTGTGCCCAAGAAAGCACTGCCATCTCACGTATGACAGGGTTAGCCACAGTGAAACCGATTTCTTTTAAACCTAGGGATTTGCCAGACAAAGTGGTGCACACCTGTTATCTCAGAGGCTCAGGAAGCTGAGACAGGAGAATTGCAAGTTCAAATCCAGCCTCAGCAACTTAGCAAGGTCCTAAGCAACTTGGGGAGATCCTGTCTCTAAATAAAATATTTTTTTAAAGGGCTAGGGATATGGCTCAGAGTTTAAGTGCTCCTGGATTCAATCCCAGGTATCAATAAATAAATAAATCCAGGGATTTTCCAGACCTGCACGTGTGCTGTAGATTAGCGTGAAGTGCCATCAGCCTCGGTTTGAGAGCCAGAGCCTAGAAGGGCCATGTGTCCATAGAGTACTTTGTTTCCTCAAGAGGGATGGCATTGTCCCTGGACAGAAAGAAGGAACACGAGAAACTGCTCCTGTGGGTGCTGTCAGTAAACTTGAAGAGCGAAAAGAGAATGACCATCAATTTCACCCTGACCTATTTAAAAATGATTTGATAAGCTTACAAGGTTACCCCAAAACTACAATCAAGAAACAATACATTAAATGAGGACGTGAAAAGTAACCCTAACAAACCGAGTGTTTATTATGAGTTAGGCAGCATCGCTAGGGGTGATCCCTGACTTTGACTCGAAAGTTTTCCTAGTTGTCAAAAAGAGAGAGAGAGAGAGAGAGAGAGAGAGAGAGAGAGAGAGAGAGAGAGAGAGAGATCGGATGTAACCACTACCATCCGAGAAATGAGGATCAGAACAGATAAATAAGCAAGATGCCCTTTGGGTTGTTATTAGGTGTGATGTATGATGCAGGGGACTGAGTCACAGCTACATCTTTCCCCATTGGATTTCTCACTTTAAGCTACAAAACAAGACTGATGAATGTGCTGAGCTTCTAAGTATTATTGCTTCACTTCTCTTCTATTTCAAGAGGTCCCTCTGCCCAGGGGAGAGTAGGTACCAGGGATTGATCTCAGGGGCACAGGACCACTGAGCCACAACCCCAGCCCTATTTTTTTATTTTATTTAGAGACAGGGTCTTATTGAGTTGCTTAACGGCTCACTTTTGCTGAGGCTGGCTTTGAACTCGTGATCCTCCTGTCTCAGCCTCCTGAGCCATTGGGATTAAAGGCATACACCATTATACCCAGCAAGATGTTTATAATTTTTTAATTAAATAGATGTGTGTTTAAAAATCAAATATGTGGATGGCCCTATCATAAAACAACCACCTGTAAGATCAGAGTACCAGTCCCCTCCTTTGTTTGTTCCCCCCAGCTCTACCTTCACCTCCCCATCCTTAGAGTTTGGGTTTTACTTTTACATTGTCCCAGCCGAGCACCCTATGCATTTTCTCCCATAATCATGATTACAGTGTTCTGCTCTCACTAGTGTGACTCTAAGACTGAAAATAAAATGAGTGTGAACATTATCCCAATGACAGTGGGATCAGCAGATGAAATGGGGTTTTTAATTCTTGGTCACTGGCCCTAAGCACTGACCTCCTATGTGGCTGGGACAACATTCTCCTGATGACTAACTATGTGACACTGCATCATGAGCCCCAGGGCTGCTGCCCACCTCCAGACTCAGTGATTCACCAGAAGGACTTGCAAGATGGGGCGTGTAGTCACTGCACACGGCTGAGATTCCTCACGGCAAAAGGGCAAGAAGCAAAGTCTGTAAAGGGACAGTTCTAGGGGGAGATGCGGAGGAGCCACATGTCTCCAGCAGTCTCTCCTGGGGTCTCTCAGCAGGCTCTTATCCCTCCCACCACAGCTGCAATAGTGCAGAGGCTGTGCAGCCAGGGTTCTGTGGGGGCTGGTCGTGTGGGTGTCTTTGCCCAGCTTAGCAGAATTCCAGACACCCAGAAGGGAAGAGGTGTTGGGCATGAATCATATACTTTGTCCAAACAGCTTAGGTTCTGCAAACCACCCACATCACTAAGGGAATGGCAGGGACACTTGTGAGATCCAAGTTCCCAAATGCCATCTGAGGGCTGACCTTGGAAGCAAGGCTTTCTAACAACAGCAGAAGCTGGCCCACAGCAATTCCCTTCTGCATGCTTAGGTCCAGTCTAAGCAGGGGCTCTTGGGCCAATGAGCTGTGAATCAAAAAACCCACTGTGTTTGAGGTTCTGGTTAAAGTGCCACCACAGGATGGCTTAGGCACTGGGGTGGAGCTCAGCCTTCCTGCCCTTTCTCTAGAACAGTGCACACGTGTGTGCATGCATGTGTGGTGGTATGTGTGCATGTGCACATGTGTGCATGCATGCATGTGCTGGTGAAGGGGAGGGCAAGGCCATGCGGACTCTGCGTCCTTGCACACTTGCCCCGGCATCTTCTCTATTTTCTGCTGCAAGCTGGCGGGCTGCTCTGGGCTGATTCTGGAAGCAGGAATGATCCTCAGGCCAACTCATGACAATGAGTTTTGCTCCTCTGTTCAAACCTTCGTCCTCCTGGCCCTCACACCACCTCTGCAGAAAGCTCTTTCTTCTCTTCTCTATTCTTCCCATCACAGCTTTGGAGACAATGGCTCAGCTACTGACCCTGGCTCACTTCCAGGCTCACAAATGCGAGGCCAACAACACCTGCCTCTGGTGTCCTCAAGCTGTCATTCCAAACTCTGAGCACCCTTCCCAGCTCATTCTGTATCTCCTAGCACTGTCGGTCATTCTCCCGTGTAGTTGGTAATTAGGTTGGATGCAGAGTTTTAGGTTGAAAACCTTCCTCTCTGAGCTTTGAAGATATTGCTACAATTTTAAAATTCTATTTTGATTCTTTTTAAGTAGGTGATCTGATCTTTCCCTGTAGAGGATGATAGGAATTTTGTGGCTCCAGGTTCCCTCTGCCTCTCGTACGTCCCCAGTGGCACCCCCACCCCCCACCTCCATGTGCTCCTGTGGGGACAGAAGCTCATTCTCTGCCACAGCCTGTTGCACATCCCGAGAAGCATGGGACTCTGCCCTGACCATCACTTCTCCTGTGCTCATTGGTGCTCTGGGTTTACCTATTGCTAGTTCTTAAGCCTAGGTTAAATGTGCCTCAGGAGGGACAGGAGGTCAGTCGCTCTGTGTGCTCAACAGGCCAGCAGTGACAGGCAGTCTCCAGGGGCCTGCACACAATCCACATGTGTTGAATGCAGTCTTTTTGAGTGTGATATGTGTGCATATTTTCACTCAAAAGTCACCAATTAAAATTGTAATGACGTTAACCAAAGTTTTAACATTTTAAACAATTAAGTTTGTCAGTAGTGAGAGGACTCCTACCCCAAAGGATGCAGATTGCATTTTTATTTCCTTGTAACTTTTCCCTTTACAATCACTTAAATAGTTGTGCTCCTACTTTAATCCAGTTTTCTATTCCTTTCACCAAGTATATGGCTAATGAACAAGAACAACAAATTGTAGTTGCAGCATATTATTTAATTTAGCTGTGGATGTTTGTTTAGCTGTCTTTGGTGATTCGGGCTGTTCTGCTTCTCAGTATGATGTCCAGAAGATCCCTAAACAAAATGCATAGGCTCCTTCTGTTCTTAGTCTTTGGGGCCAGTATAGATTTCTCGAAATTTTGTCAAATTTAGTTAAAGACTTCTGATCGCATTGCTGGTTGCTTTCCAAGTCATGCATTAATCGACCCTGAGATTTCAGTTTACACCCTCTCTTCTGATTTCATAGACTCTTTCTGTCACTTAATCTTTGTTTCTTCAATCACCAGGAGACCCTGTTGAGGTGCCCTCTGTGTCAGGTTCTCTCCAGTTTCTGGATGCTGCCGTGACTGGCATGGACCAAGTCTGCCCTTGTGTGTCCCTTGTTCAGTGGGGCACAGACAGTCATCACTCTGGCCATTCCACTTTAGTGACAGCTGCTGTGAAGCAGAGGGACAGATGTAGAGTACATATAGGCAAAGAGTAGGACAGATGGAGAGGATGGGCCGCGCTCGGGGATGGTCGTCCTAATAAGGCAGTAGTTTAAAGAGGGCCCTGGAGGAAGTGTGGGAATGGGAAATGAACGTGTTTGGCACCATCAACAAATGCAGCCTTAGAATATTTATGATGACAGATTTGACCTGGTACACCCCAGGAAGCATCTGGAGAGGCCCCACAGTATCTGTAGACCACAGTCTGCAGATCACTGCACTACACACTTACTACACTGCATCTAATAATAGAAACAGAAAGACTTTGGAAAATGTACCTGGGAGTACATGTGTGTTACACTCTGTGTTGTTTTTTTCTTGAAGGGTCCATCTTGCTGGGATGATGTCTTAATTCCAAATCGAATGAGTGGCAAATGCCAATCTCCAGGCTGCCCTGGGACCAGAGCGGTAAGTACCTGGTCACATTAATTATCTTTAAAACAAGAAAATGATGGCATCTTTTATATTTACTAAGAAATTAGACTCAAGGCCGAACGTGCCAGCTGAGTTTTCTTCCATCTGATAATGCTCACTGGAAGTCACCTGATACTCCAGTGTGTCAATGACACTCACCAAACTCGCCTTGCCCTTGCCTCCCAGTACTACTTTCCTAGTGACGCAGCCTCTTGGAGTGACATGTAAAACAAGCCGCTTTTCTTCTGCTCTCACATCACAGCCATCCACACAGACTTGTGTGACCTGAAGAGGTGGGGCTTTCTCCCCACCAGCAAGCAGTGGTTCTGCAGCAGCAGACACCAGCAAGGACTTAATTCTGCTCTGCCACCATTTGCCTTGCTGCAGGGCCAGACCCCAGACTCCCTGGTTGTTGACCTGTGCTTCTGACCAACCAGCTATGAACGAGGAGCCCCACAATCCCCTGCTCTGGGTTCAGTTAATTTGCTAGGACAATGCACAGGACTCGGGAAAATACTGATTTTTTTCTGTTCACTGGTTAAAAGATGCAGCTGCAGAGATGCCTGAGGCGAGGTAAAGGGAGGAAGAAGGGCAGAGCTTCCATGTCCTCTGCAGGCTTGCCACCCTCCAGCTATCGGCAAACTCTCTGAACCCCGTCCTTTTGAGTTTTCATGGAGGCTTCATTATGTAGGCATGACCGGCCAAGGGCTGGGCGCTGGTGATCAGCTTAACCTTCTGCTCCTCTCTCCTCCCTTGAGTTTGCTGGTGCTAAAAATTCCCAGCCGGTAATCCGGCCTGGGTTTCCTGTGGCAGGACTCACCCGCTACCCAGGGGCTGCCAGCCACTAGTGTGTTCCCAGGAACGCAAGAACAAAAAGCAGCAAACAAAACCCCAAAGAAGCCACCTGTCACCTTGCAAAGTCCCAGGACTTTAGGAGTCACATGCCAGGAATCGGGGCAAAGACCAAATACATGCTTCATAGTATCATTGGCTCGACATTGAAATGTGCCAATCCAGACTTGGTACAAAGGGATATGCAGAATAGATAAAGAAGAGCCACAGAAGACAGCCAGCTCAGAGCCTAACAAAGAAAAAGAGCAAAGATATAAAGTTAATCTCCCCCCCCCATGCTGTGGTATTTTATATTTACATCCATGTCATTCAAATGATTCCCCCTTTGCTTTATCTCTTCCTATCTGTCTTTGGCAGCTTTCTGGCAGAGTGGTCTGTTAGAAAATGTAGTAGGGTGCCCAGGTACGGAACTGAATTCCTATCCTCTCTTCTTCTTTGCAAGTGCAGGTTGTACATTTCACACACGGCAGATGGTTCTTGAAAGACACCCCAAACTCTGACATTATTTTAAAAATGATTTTATTATTGCGGTCAAGTTTATCATTTATATAATGTTACAATTTTACCTCAGAAACTCTGTGTCCATTATAATCTGGCTGTTTTTATTTCCTGAGCTCTAAGTACTGTTTGGGTGCCAACACAAACAGGGTGCTAGTTCACAACCTGTCACAGTCAGCTGGCAGCTCATACTAAGGAACAAAATCTGTCAATAGCAACAGGTACAGCATTGGAGCTGGGATCATTAGCTGAGCCTCCTCTTGCTGATCTGAGAGATGACTACAAGGGTACCAAGCCAGCCTCGATCAGCAGTCACATTCCCCAGCAGACGGGCTGGGACCATGAGTAGATTCTTATTAATGCAAACCCTGAAGAAAGAAATCCTGATGACATATATGTCATTCACACACAACAAAGCACAATCTAGTCTTGTGAGTTTCCTACTGAGTTGCAATTAAAATGCACATATTTTATAGGGCAGAATTTTTAAACAATAGTTAAATATATGTATAGGTACACACACACACACACATATATATATATATATATATATATATACACATGTACACAAACACACCACATATGATATACATGATATGTATAATAATTACATTACATACAGTAATTTCATGCTTACATACACATAACTTTCCATCTATCCACTCATCCACCCACCCGTCCTCTAGTGCCATGTGGTCTTCATCTTTATAGTCATGTGCTGTCCTTTGAAAATCTACTTCAATCATTGACCGACTGCCTTATCCATAGCAGAATAGAAAATCCTGCATCTCTAAGGAATTTATCTTCAAATCAGTCAAAGGGGAAAGCTTTGCTGGGTGGCGTTGAAGATCATGTTCTTCTTGTTGAATGTTTAGCTTACCTTGGTTATCGATTGGGTATAAATTAAGTTACACTGCAAGTCTGTTTCTGACAGTGTAGTCAGTGGACATCCCTAAAAGCCTTGCAGTTCATATCACAGGAAAAACTACTGGATTTAATCATAAACATGCACTTTTAAAAGAATAACTGTGTTAACTTGGCGATGGAAAGTTCATTTGCCAGCAATTGAGAAAAAACTGGGCTGTAGAGAAGAAATCGAATGAGCTAGTGTTCTGGGGCAACTACTGGCCACTGGGGGTGGACACTGGAGCAGACAGTGGCACGAGGGCCTGACCAGGCAGCAAGTTAGAAACAAGGGCTCAGAAGGCACTACCTCATTGGAGAGAGCAGTGGGTAGGCCTGGGCTTTCTCTTGCTCTGGGTAAAGCAGAAAATATCATCTGGAAGAATTATCATCTTTTCCTGAGTTTGGGGCAAATATTCACTCCTCTGTACGGCACAGAAAGTGCTAAGTCATGAGATAGCAGTGCCAGACCCTGGGCTGAAATGAGCCCACACCCTCCCAGGGGACCTGTACTTAAAATGAGGTTCCAAATAATCCCTTCAGATAATTTCAGGCAAAGCATGAACTAATAATGAGAAAAATCACGATAAGCCATCAGGAATGAGAACAGGAGGCTCGACCCTGAAAAAATGCACAGATTGAGGCCTGGGGCAGCTCAGCAGTAGAGCACTTGCCCAGCACACGCAAGGCCCTGAGTCTGACCCCCAGCACAGAAAAAATAAAAAAATATGGAAATTGCAATTATCAGGGAGAGAATAAGAGTGTGATTAATATATTTTTAAAAATTATATGTAGCAAATTGTTAAAAAATAAAGGACTGTCAGAAATACCCAGAGTACACACATACACACATGAAATATAGAATTGAAAATTAGAATACCTGTCAAAAAAATGTACTAAATAAGCTAACCTGTAAAGAAAACATGGGCAAAAAGAGAAATTAGAACTTAAATTTGAAATTTGATATGAAAAATCAAAAATGCAACCCCAAATCTTTAAAGATAAAAAAGAAGTTAAAAAGACAGAATATAGAAGTTTCAAATATTTTTTAGGTTTCCAAAAAGAAAAATAATAGAATGATATTATCTAAAGAAATAATAAAGTAAAACTTTCTATGATTTTTAAGACTTGAGAATCCCAACTAATTCTATGCAGCTTAAATAAAATGAAAGCCTCATCTGAATGAAACACCGAAACTACAGATTGTAAAAGTCAAATAGAAATTTCTAAAAGCAGTTAGAATAAGACATTTTCTACACAGGAATGACAATTCAACTGATAGTTAATTAATTAGAATCAACATTGGAAGACAAATGATAGAGAACAATATTCTCAAAATATGTAAAAAAATAAATGCTAAGTTAAAATTGTATTTTAGCAAAATCTTTCAAGAAGGAAGGTCAAGACCAACTATAAAAAAAAATTGTTTTCAGTAAAACTTGAAATTTTACTTTTGTCTGCATGTTACTTAATTGTTTAATAAAATATTTTTAAAAGGAATAAATATGATCCTAAAATAAAAGCCTGGAATTTGAGAAGGAATGATTTATAGGCAGTGGGTGAATCTAAAGGAAACATAACAGTAAATACAATAATCTTTCAGTTATAGGGATATTTATAATGTCCCTGTGGACACCTTTGCCCAGGAGCTAGAACATAGGTAAAGCATTCTAGGATTTTTTTTTCCCAACCAAAAAGCAAAGGTACTGATTTTTAAAAGTATTTTTTTTACTGTTTAAATATTCCTGGCAGCTTTATTTGTATCAGGCAAACTGGAAACAACTGACACGTCCAACAGTAAGTGAGCCATAAACTGCTTCATCCACACAGCAGAGTAGAAAGACCCTGGGCACACCCACGTCCTGGGCAGGTCTCAAAATAAGCACACATAAGGGAAGACACCAGATAGGAAGGGTGGACCTCACTTATGTGGAATTCTAGAGGATGTGTACAGTGTACAGTGATGGGAAATCAGTGGGTGCCTAGGGATGGGGTTGAGGGAAGCAGGAGCCTGGGGAAGGGGTTAAGGCCCCGGGAGTCTGTAGGGATGGTAAGTTACTCATTATCTTAATTATGATGTTGGCTGAATGATTATTTCTGTATGACGAAACTCACCAAGTAGGCGTGTGTGTGTGTGTGCGGACATATTTGGTTCAGTGACCCTCTATTAGAACATCAGTGTTGGGTACCTGCTACTGGTTCCCTCTCACCCCTGGAGAGTTCTGTTTCTGTTCTTCCCACTTGAGTAAATCCTACTCCTTTCACTCTTGCAAAAAAGAAAAAGTCAGTGCCAACATTTATAAAATCAGCACCAAGACCCCTCTCCCTGGGTGCCAACAAGCCCCCAGGGTGAAATGTGATGGCGATAGGTTTTATGGAAAAGAGTGGACCAGGCCTTGGCTCCAGGATAAGATCACAGCTGCCGTACACACGTGCTCCATGAAGAAAGGAGACTTTGCCCAGAAGCTTCCAGCAGATGCCTTGAGTCTCAGACCAGGTCAGCTTCACACCTGACTCAGTCACAGGGACGGGAGAGACAACGCACAGGCCACAGGCAACCTGGACAGAAGGCTTCAAGCAGCTGAGGCTCATGGGGGCTCCTGAGGGTGTGGTGCTCAGGGGGTGGAGTTGGTCATGCCAGCAGGCTTCTTTAAGAGACTGCCATGGTTCCCCTCTTGGGTTGAGCGTGGTTTTCCTGAGCAGGACCGTGGAGGCCGCTGGAGGACCCCACCTGTGCTCCT